GCACACAGAGCAAAGCTTTGCCTGACACACTTCTGATCAGCTCTGTGAGCAGGGAAGGGGCTTGGAGCGAGGGTTTGCTGGGAATTACTGACTTCAACAGTTGCCCAGGCAGAGTTAAGTATCTCTGCGGCATTTCAAAGTAAAAACAGTCAGTTACTTTAAAGTTATTTGGTGCAATAAAGGAATCACAAAATCCTGGAATGGTTTGGGTTGGAAGGAACCTCAAAGCCTATCCAGTTCCACTCACTGCCATGGACAGGGACACCTCCCACCAGCCCAGGTTGCTCCAAGCCCCGTCCAACCTGGCCTTGGACACTTCCAGGGATCCAGGGGCAGCCACAGCTTCTCTGGGCAGGCTGTGCCAGGGCCTCACCATCCTTAAGAGGAAAGATCTCTTCCCAATACCCCATCTAACCCTGTCCTCTGGCAGTGGGAAGCCATTCCCTGTGTCCTGGCCCTCCAGGCCTGAGCTTTGCCCCTGCTCCTTGCTGGGCTCTTCCCAGCCCTTGCCCATCCCAAGAGCCTCTCTCAACCCTGCAGCCGAAGGAGGGGTGATGAGGTGGATGTGGCCCAGCTCCTCTGACCTGCCCAGCAGCACAGGCTCTATAATTACTCTCTGCCTCGAGCCAGGAGCTGTGTGCTGGAACTGGAGGAGACCTCTGTCTAATGAGCCTGTCCCTGGATGTCAGCAGTAATTAATGTGCATCGCCCTGCAGGTTCCCACCTCCTCTTAATAAGCTGAAATTTTATCCTCTGGTTATAATTGCAAGTTATGGTTAAAATTCCACATGCCTGGGAGTCGGGGAGCGGGATGCTCCAGCCTGTTCCCCTGTGGGTACACGTGGGGGGGTTGCTGACATCGTTCCAGCCCCTCCTTTCACTCCTGGTCCTCTTACAGTTAACTTTCATCCTCACCACCCTCTTCTCCTCCCTTTTCTTCTCTTTCTCTCTTTGTCTCCTACTTTCTTCACCTTTGCCTCCTTCTTTTCTCTTCAGCTTGGCATGACAAACCCTCCAGGACTGTGGTGGAAGATGATCATCCTTTGTGGCACATGAAGCCACCTCTGGCACAGCAGCCCCTTCCCATCAGCTGTTGCTGCTAGAAATAATACTGGGATATATAGAAATAATAAAGAGACCAAAGGCACACACAGAAATACCTCGAGCTGGGAGAAATCACGGGAGAAATGAGACTCGTGGGGTTCTCGTTGGCACAGCAAGTCCCTTTCCTGGGCTGTCCCACCACTGCTGGTGAGCTGTGTCTGAGGGAAGTGTCTGAGCCCCAACAACTACAACTTATTGACCTCATTTTGCTGGATGAGACAACTCGGCTGCTGGTCCAAATGTTCCCATGGCCATCAGTGCTCAGCTGAGGGTGGAAGATGCACAAACACTCACTAAAGGGCTCCCACACTCCCCGAACTCGAACTGGTGGCTCAGCCCCACAGTGGCTGGTTGCAATGGCCAGGTGAGCCTCTTTCCTCTTTTCCACACCTTTTCATTAAAAAGTAATTAAGGAATAACAGAGAATCTGGGCTTTGTTCCTGTCAGCTCTCAGTGTACAGGGAGCTGGGAGCAGATGTGAGGTGGTGAATCACGCGCAGGCAGCCGGGAGAGCTGCTCAGGGATGAATCCAGAGGATCTGGGATGGGAATGCCCAGAGCTCTGTTGACCACTCGAATTACGGGCCCCACTGTGACATCTCGGCTGGTGCTGGGCTGTGTCAGAGCTCAGATGGGCAGAGCTGGGGTTTGTGGAATCCCAGCTGCAGGTACCTGGGAAAGGCAGAGCAGAGCTGACAGCCAGGGAAACACCGGATGGATCCAAACACAGGAGGCTGCACTGCAACCAGGGAGAGTAGAGGGCTGGATTTTGGTCATTTGGGCACAATAAGTAGTTCTTGCTTACAGACATTAACACAGTTCAAAGATGAACAGCCATCCTTTCCCACTGTGGCTGAACAGAGTTGTCCAGCTGGACCCTCTGAGCCAGGCGCTTGCACCCCCAGGCTCTGCTCCAGCTTTACCTGGGCAACAGCCAGGTGTTGTTCTCCACACCTCCCATGCACCTGCATCTGCTCTCAAAGCTCCAGCCAGCTGTGGGCGATGAATTTTGATGGATGATAAATAAATAGGTTATGTAGATAACAGACAATGCATGGCATTTTCTATTGAAATAATAGAATCCCAGAATGCTTGGATGGTTTGGGTTGGAAGGGACCTTAAAGCTCATCTTGTTCCACCCCCTGCCATGCGCAGGGACACCTTCCACTAGCCCAGGGTGCTCCAAGCCCAAGCTCCAACCTGGCCTCGAACACTTTCAGGGATCCAGGGGCAGCCACAGCTTCTCTGAGCAACCTGTGCAACACTCTTAGTGAAATTTAACCTGCTGGAAAACACACACAGGGAAGAACTCACTTTGCATTTGGAAAGCTGCATTTTGAATTTTTTAACTCAAAACTGCAAGTGACAGAGAATCCAAATAGGGAGAATTTGTAGGATTTACTGTATTAATTATTAAAAAGGAAAGAAAAAGACATTGCTCATGAAAAGCACATTCTTGTCGATCAAAGCTGGGAAACAGAGAGTACTTTTATACAGTCATCTGCCAGCCTTTGATACGCTCAGTGGAAACCTTGTCAGGTATTTGGAGTGTGGAGTGTGGAGCTGTCTGGCTTTGACGACGTTCCCTGTTCCGAGGACGAAGGCAGCGAGGGGGATGAACTCAGCCAAGGGGCTCCTGTGCTGCCTCAGCGAGGGGCTTTGGAAAAAAAAAAACAAAACAAAACAGAAAGCTAGAACCTGAACAAAACCGTTCCCTCAGTGGAGGAGCAAAGTTGCAGCGGCGCCATGGGCCGGGTGAGAGGCTCCAGCACAGCCAGCTCTGAACGTGCTGCTCGCTGAGCCCTCACAGAGCCCTCCCTGAGCCCTCACAGAGCCCTCCCTGAGCCCTCCTTGAGCCCTCAGCTGGCGCTGCCGCCGCTGCTCCGGCTGAAAGCAGCACCTGCCAAGGCCGAGAGCCCATTCTTCAGTAACAGCTCAGCTGGTTCAGAAGGAGAGCTCGGAGGCAGATGAACAATTTATGCAGAGTGGGATCCATGACAAAGTAGCAGCTCCTTTGGTGAATACAAGCATCTTTGTACAAGTGCCCAGATGGTTCAGGAGCGGGGCCGTGGCTGTGAAAAGCGCCGTTGTTGTTCCGGGCTCACATCACACCCCCTGACAACGTGCTGGGCACAGCCCCTGCTCCCGGGAGCTGCAGGCTTCAGCCTCCAGACAGACATCCCACACAGGCCAAGTCCCTGGCTTTGCTGACGTTTTTTCCTGCAGGATAATGTCCCCTCCAGGGTATTACCCACTGTCCCTGTCCCACTGCTGCAGCACCACTGCCTGAAAGGCCGTGTTCCCACATGATTTGGACATTTGGATCGATTGGACTTGGACACTGAGATAACCAAGGCCAGCCTTCCTTGGCGGTGCCTCCACAGGACACGTCCAGCCTGACAGACAGCCTGGCTGGGGTGGGGGGACAGGCTGGGAGACACGCAGCTCTTATCACCTATCATGGGACAACCCCTGAGCTGTAGGATCCCAAAGGATCCCAACCCCACACACCGGGGTGTGGGCTCCCCACATCAGGGACTGTGGGGGGAGGACGGGAGCAGCACTGCAGCCTGGAAATGCAGGAGGGGATCCCCCTGGAGGGGATGAGGGTGAGTGTCCAGGCAAAGAGGAGCTGAGCCAGGTGATCTGCTGCAGTGGGAACAGGGCCTGTGCTGCAGTGGGATGGACTGGGGGCAGCTTAACATGGGTCCTTCCTGTGGCCTGCTTGATTTGGGTATTTGCCAGAGTGTGTGGAGCTGGGGTGGTGATGGGAGCAGCGCTGAACTCCTCAGTGGGGCCTCGGGGGGGTGACTGTGGACAGTGTGACACCCAAGCAGGGAATGGGCAGGGCCAGAGGCAGAGACCTGCAGCAGAGCTGGCCAGATTCCCATCCCCCCTGGGCACTGCTGATGCTGCCACCAGTTATTTCACTTCCCCAGAGCAGCACCAGCTGTATCCAATAACACTGATGGCTCTTAGAGTCCATTTTGTCCGAGAACCAGGGATTTAAAAGTTTCCTTCCATAGCAAATGAACGCGAAGGGAGAAGCTCATGCCCTGGAGGCTGCCTTGGCACTTGGGCTGGTGCTCAGCTCTGCTCTCAGGGCCACAGCAGCTGCTGCCCCTCCATGGCAGTACCAGCCTAGTGATGGGGTTGGGCTCCAGCGAGAGAGCTGGGCACAGCTTGGTGCTTTGGCAGTGACCTGCGGGCCTGATGGGTTGTGCCTGGTCACCTGCTGTCCTTGGAGTCACAGAGTCCCCGATGCAGCCCCTCACCTCTCTGATCTGGGGGTCTGGGGCGCCAATACCCCCGGCCACGTGTCCGACCTGCTCGACATCGCTCACAAGGCTCAGCGTCACCACGGCGCATAAGCTGGGGGGTGCTCCCACGACCCGGGGGCTGCCCCCCGCCCTGCCCCGCTGCCCCCCGATGTGGGGGAGTCCCTCGGTGGTCGCCGGGCTGCGGGGAGCGGGCGGGAGGTGCGGAGATCTCAGCGGAGCCCCGCAGCGCCGGGTGCCCCGGTGCCCCCCCCCCCCCCCCCCCCCCCCGACCGTGCCCGGCCGCGCCCCCCCCCCCCCCCCCCCCGCCGCCCTCCGCGCCCGCGGAGCCCCCGGACCCCTCCCGCGCGGGGCTCCCGGCGGAGGCGGCGGGGCCGCGCCGCCCGTGCCGCATTGGTTTGCGGCGGAGCCCGTCACCGCCGCCGCGCCGAGATTGGCCCCCGCAGCCGGCGCCGGGCGCCCCCCGGGCCCTGCCTCCTCCCCGCCCGCCGAGCGCCGCGGCCCGGGCACCGGGCACCGGGCACGGGCACCGGCACCGCGCTCCGCTCCGCCCCGCCCGCAGCGGGGGCAGGGCCGGGCCGAGCCGGGCGGGGGGCGCGCCCGCCGCACCTCCCGCACCGCCCCGCGCCGCCCCGCACCGCCCCGGCAGCGGGATGTGAGCGGAGGCTCCGCCGGCAGCGCCCGCCGCCCGCGCCCGCCGCGCCCCGGGAAGATGCTGAGCAGGTGGATGAGTGGCAGCAGCAGGAACCTGGACCGCGAGTACAACTGCACCGTGCGGCTTCTGGACGACAGCGAGTACACCTGCACCATCCAGGTCAGGCTCCGCGGCACCGGCACCGCGCCCGCGCTGCCCCCGCAGCCGCCGCGCTGCCGCCCGGCCCCGGCAGACAAAAGGAGCGGAGCGGAGCGGCGGGGGCGGCCCGGTGCTGCCCCGCGCCGCCAACAAAGGCGGCCCCCCCGCTCCCGCCGCCCCCCGGCTCTCGGGAGGCGACCGGAGCCGCGGCTGCCGGCGGCGGGGAGCCCCGGGGCTGAGCCCCCCGCCCGCGGAGCCCCCGGCGCGGGGGGTGCGGGGATGGCGCGGAGAGCCGCCCGCCTGCCCCCGGCGCGGTGCTGCCCGCGGCTCCCGGAGCCGGAGCGGGGCGGGGGCAGCCGGCACGGCCGTCCCGGGGCCGGGGGAGCCGCGGCCGTGCCCCGCGGAGCCGCCGGTGCGAACCCTCCGCGGCGGGCGCGGGGGCTGCGCGCAGCGCGGGGAGGACGTGGGTGCGAAGTGAAGTACGGGGGATGCTGCGGGGCGGGGATGGACAGGGCATGCTGCGGGGCAGGCACCGACCCTCCCGGCCCCGCCGCAGCCCGGTGCCTGCTGTGCCTCCCTCGTGAGCGGCCGGCTCTGCCCTGATGTGCTCTCGGGTTTTGTAACCGTCCGGAGCGGCGGGCACGGGGCATCCGCCGCGCCCCCGTGCCGGGAGGGACCGGGAGCAGGACCAGGACGCGGGGTCGGGGCCGTCGCTCCCCTCCCGGTGTCCCCTCGCTGCCGGGGCTGCGCGGGGCATCGCTCAGCGCGCAGATGTCGTGGGATGTCGTATTGCTGAAAACTAGGGAAAGGCGCTCCCCGGCTCCGCTGGAACTAGTCCGGTACCGAGACCGCGTGACCGGGGCTTGAGACGAGCATCCCTGGTTCTGGCTGCTCCTGTGCTCCATTCCTACAATCAGCATCATCCCTGCAAGGGAGCTCACGACGAGCTGTGCGGAGCCGCACGCGCAGGGGTTGCGCTGGAGGCGGCTGGCCTCAGCCCAGCCCGGGGGCGATGGAAAATTCGGGGCAGAGTTTTGAGTAAAGGTGACTCAACACGTCAGTAGCAACAGCTCCCACCGCCCAGCTTGGGGGACCCCCAGCTCCTCCTGTCTTGTGATGCCAAGGAGGGGGGAACATCCTTCCATTTAGCGTGCTTTAGGTGATAATGCCAAAGAACGGTTGCCGAGGGTGCTGCAGGCTATGGAAGGCACCGTCATTTTGGCTTAAAGACGGCTTAAAGATTCTAAAATCGATAAATAGGATGGTTTGTGCAAATACCACTGAAGAACGGTGGAAATGCTGCCGGTCCCCCCTCACCTCCCCCACCAGGGTTGTAAAGTGTGACCCAGTAAACAGCTCTAACGGCAGCCCAGTTTGTTTTGCATAAGCCAAATTAATTCGTCTCTCAGAGGTTGTTTTTAATACAAATTAAATGGAAAACTAGTTTGGGAGAGAAAGTGTGGGCAGAACAGTTCAGAAAAATCTGGATTTTCTGCCCTTAAGATAATTTAACAAGGTGTCGTCATTTTGCATGTGTTTTTTTAAAAAGAGAAAATACTACTTGATCCCATATTCCAGTTGATATTTTATGGGTAGCATAGTAAACAGGGAATCCTGGTATTTAGCATGCATGACCTGAGGGATGCAGAATTTGCTCCCGCTACCCTCACAAGCAAGGTTACCCCGCTTAAATATTTGTTCTCTCTTGCTTTCACGCTGCCTTATAAGCCAAGTATTTATAGTCCATGCGAAATTAGGGAGAACATAGCAGGAATGTGTAATGTCTCACAAGTGAGGGAGCCGTCACCGCGCAGGCTGCGAGCGCTGAATGAGTTTTGAAGGTCATTCCTTCACGAGCGCAGAGATTTCGCGTCTTGCCGAGATCCACGGTGTCTCCTCACCCGGGCTGGTTCTGCGCCTCTCGCATCTAATTTATGTCTTTCTATTTTTACTGAAATCTGGAGGAACCGGCCGAAGCACGAGCCGTGGTTTTCCCACGCAGTGCTGTGGCTGCCGGCGCACGGCTGGGGAGCGGAGCTGCCGCCGGGAACTTTGCACCGTGGGGTTTTGCTGCTGTGCCCGGGTGTTCGTGCCACATGTCCGGGGGCATGTGGATGGGCTTTGTACCCTCCCTGAAGCGTGGCCCTTCTGACGTGTCATTTGGCTTCAAGGCTGGGCAGAAGGAAGCAGCACTCAGAGGCAGAGCTGATTTTGAGAGGGTTTATTTACATTTTGGATAATGGCACTGGTTAAACCTGTCACAACATTAACCTCTGGCTGCGCTTGCTGAAGGTGTGTGAGTAGGGGTTTGGTGCTGCTGGTTAATACCTGAGCATTCTGCTTCTATGTAAAGCCTTTTTCATTTGATTAGCCAGGGTTTACTTAGCTAATATTCCCATGTTGAACCAGCAGTTCGTTGTCTGAGCTGGGATGAATCCTTCCTCTTTTTTCCCTAATTTTCACTCCCAAACAGCCCATCCAAGCAGGTGGAGGAGGCTGGAGGGCCCATCCCTGGCTTCCCCCAGATGCTGTTTGGGGGACGGATCTGCTGGGCAGAGGGATGAGGTGCAGTGGGTCAGGGCAGCTGAGTTGGCTGCTCCATGAACGGTTTTGTTGTTGGGGTTTTTTTGTGCATTCCAGCAGTTTGCTGGTTTGGGGATGATGCTGTTCCAGTATCTGTGTCCACTGGATCCTGGGGTCAGTCCATGTCTGCGAGTGAGCAGGGCTGTGGGTCTCAGCCACTTGCTGGGACTCGGGGACTCGCAGCAGCTGCCTGAACATGAAGATGTTGGGCTTACTTGACTGGGAAAAGCTGATGTTTAACAGTATTACAGGCCACAGAGGCACCTTTTAAGGCAGTAAAGGTGGTGGTTTGCAGTGTGGGGTCCATCAGGTGAGAGAAGCAGCAGTGCCCATTTCTGCTCTGTCCCTTGGTGCTGTGCCGACTGCTGGGGACCCCACTGGTGGGTGGCACTGCCCCGAGACGTGTCCCCAGGGAGCAGTGGGGCTGAAGAGAGGGGCAGCCATTCCTGAAGGGGTTTTGCACATCTCCATGGTGAGGGGCTGGCCTGGCTGTATATTTAATTTATGTTTCACCCCTCGTGCTCTGTGTCTCCAAGAGGAACGCGGAGCAGTTCGCCGGAGAGGCTCCTCACAGCACCGTCAGACAAAACAGGCTCTGAAACCCCAAGCCATGCCCCTGTGCTGTGGTTTGCTGTGAGTGAGCTGCTTGTCTGAGGAAATGTTTTAAATTCTTCACTGTGGTGTCAGTGGTGGCATAAGAGGCTCAAAATAATTAATGATTTGCCATTGCTCTACGCATCAAACATTTTCCTGAAAAGACAGTGGCGTTTTGTTTCAAACCCCAGTAGTGCTACAGGAACCTGGAGATGTGAGAAAATAAAGGTACGGTTTCTTAGATGCAGAATGTAAGAACTTTCTTGTGTGAGATTGAGAAGAAATGAAAACGAGCTCCTGGCTGCGCTCTGAGACAAACCCCCTGTTTCCCACATGGAGCACAAAGTTCTTCAGGAGCCCTGACAGGATCATTAATATCAGGCAGCAGCACGAAGGGGAACCTGGGGGTTTGCGGCACTGGCTCCGGTGAAGGTTATTTGTTCATTATCTTTTTATCTTCTGAGAGTTTCCAATTGCTTTTCCCGGGAAGTAGGTTAGGAGACCGCTGCTTCTGCAGGGGCGGCTGCGCTCTGCAGCCCAGCACAGGTGATGTGTGCTGTGAGCTCCCTGCTCCCCACAGCGCCACAAACCAGCGGCTCCGTGCTGAGCTGTGCTGTCTGTCTGTCCCAGAGCCTCCCCTTCTCTCCAGGGCCGGAGCCCAGCTGCGGGGACAGGGACCGGGGCCAGACCTGTTGTCAGAAATGGGGTGTTGGGCTGGGCCTGTGGGTCCCAGCTCTGGGTCTGCCTGAGGATTGGGCGCTCTGACCATCCCCTGCTCTCGTGGGCTGGCACTGGGAGAGTCTGGCAGAGCCCCAGGGCAGCACCAGCACACCCTGGCAGTGGGGAGAGCCCCTCACGAGGCCCTGGGGCTGCAGTGGGTGCAGGGTCACCCCCTCACAAGGCTCTGGGGCTGCAGTGGGTGCAGGGTCACCCCCTCACGAGGCTCTGGGGCTGCAGTGGGTGCAGGGTCACCCCCTCCCAGCCCGCGGGTCCCAGGGGTGCTGATGGCGTTACCGCAGCTTTGCTGTCCACTATTGAAAGTTGTGGGTTTATTTATAGCTTTGGACATGTCTTTGCAGCAGAAAGCCATCGCTCTGGCTCAGCTGTGTCTCTGTGAGCTGTGCTGGCAGGGCAGCTCCTTCGCTCCCGGCTCCAGCATTTCCGTACGCGCGGTTGGTGGGCTTGGACAGAAACTGCCTGAAATGCACAATAAGTTTGAAGGCAAAATAGCAGCCAAAGCAGAGCACTTAATCTTCTTTTCCTCCTAAATTTATGTCTACGTATATAATTTTAAATGCAAAGGATAGAGAAGGCAGCTAAGGAAAACATCCACTGAAAACTGGGGCTATAATCAGTCACATTTCAATGGGAGGCAAACCCCTAAGTTGTTTTGGAAACCTGTGGAAAATACTTCTAGTGCTGCTCTTTCTTCACCAGCCAAAATGTCTGTTTTCTGTTCACTTTTCATACCTGTTTTACAGCATTACCTGCTGTGAACCCGCCGGCTATTCCCCCCTCAGGAGCCAATTTCCTGACAGAACTACTTTGCTTATCAGTTTCCTGTGGAAGATGCTGAAGACAAATATAGATACAACTATAGAGACAGATACAGACAGAGATATCCACACAGCAGTGCACACACACACAGTGATGCTGTTGTAGACAGACATGTACAACAGCACCATGAAAGAAGGAATTTGCTGCTTCTGTCATGTAAGAATTAGGTAATGCACAGCATGAGGCTTTTTTAGAGGTGTCTGGGGAATACTGAAAGTGCCGTGAGCAGCCCACTTATTTTTAATTTTTGAGTCACTCTCTGGGAGCCCCGAGGGATCATGGGCATG